TTGAAGTAAAAAAAAAAAAAAACCTTCAACACACGCAATGTTCTGATTGCACCACAAACGCAGTAATAGTCATCCTTACCTTTCACAGAGGCACTGAGTTTTATAAATATGAGCATGATAGTGTAGAATAATCATATCCAAGGACCAGTGGTGGGTTTCAAAAAATGTTTGGAACCTCTTCTGTAGGTGTGGCCTGCTTTCCGGGTCCACTGGTGGAACCTCTTCTAACCGGTTCGGTAGATTTGACGAACCGATTCTACCGAATAGGTGCGAACTGGTAGGAACCCACCTCTGATCCAAATGCTGGACTAGATGGTACTTTGACCTCATCCTGCATCCATTTACATTTCTCTTCCTTCTGCTCCAGGTGTTACACGGCCCAAGAGTCTTCTTGTCTTCATCAATCCAGTGGGGGGACGTAAGCGAGCAATGCAGATCTACCAAAACCAAGTGGCTCCACTGTTTGCCCTGGCAGGGATCCATGCTCAAGTTGTGGGTGAGTCCCATTATCTTCCTCCACTAATTCCTCTTTCCTTGTCATTGTGGATTTCTTTTATCTCCAATAGCTTCCATCTTTGCTCTTGCTCCATCCTTTGTCTGAGTCTTGTAATAGCATACCACTTAGCAATACTGTAGCAATAGCACTTAGACTTATACACCGCTCCACAGTGCTTTGCAGCACTATCTGAGCAAATAGTGCTTATTTATACGCTTACAAATATCAGCATATTGCCCCCCAAAATCCGGGTCCTCATTTTACTGACCTTGGAAAGATGGAAGGCTGAGTCAACCTTGAACCGTTCAGAATCAAACTCCTGGCAATGGGCGGAGTTAGCCTGCAATTCTGCATTCTAACCACTGTGCCACCATGGCTCCTATTAAACCCTCTCCTGCTTTCTTCCTGTCACCATCCTCTCAGAGACGTGCCATGCGAATGAGGCTCGGGATTACATCCTACAGCAAGATCTCTCTGGCATCGATGGGTAAGTAACTTTGTTGGCCAGTCCAACCCTGGTGAAAACTAGCTAATTCCAAATGCTGTAATTCATTAATTCATTCGCCGTCAGGCTTAGCCCAAGAACGAGGTGGAACAATCCAGCTGGGGCTCATTCCTTATTTGTTTATACACAATAAACAGACTTGCCAAACTAAACCTTTACTTCTCTCACCCTAGTGCAGTGTTTCGGCACTGAGTGGCAAAATGGGAGCCTGCCTGCGAGCTGGAAACTGGAACAGCAGCTGCTTGGTGTGCCTGTGCGTGCCGAGAAGGTGAACTTCCGGTTTTCAGTGCGCACATGTGCACTGGCCAGCTGGTAAACTCTCATGCGCATGCGTGCCAGAAGCTAGAAGACCAGATGGCTGGTCTGGCATGCATGTACCGGAAACCAGAAAATTATCTTCCCATCACGCACGCACGCACCGGGAGGCTGCTCTTCCGGGTTCCGGTGCATGTGAAGACCAGCTCACTGGCGTGCTAGAACCCAGAAAAGCAGCAGGTGATAGCTCGCATGCCTGGAGAGATGGCTCTGCATGCCATTTCCGCCATGCGGGCCATAGATTCACCGTCACAGCCCTAGTAGACATTCCTTGGGAGATCCTGAGAAGTGGCTATGCTAGCTCTCTTCCTCTGCCTCATATCCAGCTCCAGGCTGTGATGCCTCTTGTCTCACTCCATTCCTTGGAATGCGCTCCATGCTTTCTGGGATATTGGTGCTTCACTGTAGTCCATCATGTCACTGTCAAGGCGGCCTCCCTCAGTAACCAAGAAAGAAACCACTCAACTCCATTTTGCAGAATTAAGAGTACTTTTACTGTTCATGAGTAGATAGCAGCTAAGCAAAGCAAGATCTAAGGCAAAAGCGCACGTAATCATAGATATCTGTTGTGACTCAGCAGAAGTTTGCTGTGAGTTGAGTCGGGATGCAGGAATAGCAATGCAGCTGGGGCTCGCTAGTGTGGTCTTCTGGAGATAAAAGGACTGATGGTGCCACGCCCTGGTTGCAGAAGTCAACGTTCATTCATTTGTTTGTGGTTCATCGGTCGTGGTTTGT